TGTGTGTGTGTGTGTGTGTGTGTGTGTGTGTGTGTGTGTGTGTTTCTTGTGTTCCTTCTTTGTTACTTGTTATATTTCTATTCTGGTTTGTATGTTTATTTTATTTGCCTGTTTATTTTTGAAAAGAGAATGAAGGTGTGGAATGGGGTGGGTGGGGAGGTAGGAAGGATCCAGGAGAAGATGAAGGAGGGAAACTATAATCAGAATATATTGTTTGAAAAAGATCTATTTTCAATTAAAAAAAAAAAAAACTTCCTGGTGACCTGTCATTCAACATAGAGAAAAATTAGATCATGTCTCCTTATCAGACTTCATTTGGTTTAAGATTTTTGTTTGTTTATTGCCATTATTGTTTTTGAGACAGAGTCTCTCTACATAGCCCTGGCTGTCCTGGAACTCACTCTATAGAGCAAGCTGACTGAACTCACAGGGATCCACCTGCCTCTGTCTCCCAGCGCTGGGACAAAAGGTGTGTGCCACCATGCCCAGCTTCTTTACTACACTATAGAATCCTGTCTTTCCAGGGACAAATATCCTTTGGTTCGCAACATGACTCATTCATGTCCTTACTTTCTGATGGCACTCATATTTGTGAGCAGCTACTTTGAAGAATGAAATTCAGCAAGAGTAAAATTAAAACCAAAACACAGGATAAGCAGCCGCAGCTACAAGCACCGGTGAGTTCATCTTGTGAATACGACATCAATGTCCCACTAGTGTTGTTATTCTTTTTTCACTTTTATAGCAAAAAAAAAAAATTGATGAAGTTGTATTACTTAGGTGTAGTCGTTTTACTAATTGATCTCAAACTTGGGACCTGCTCAGCAATTAAAAAGACTCTCTAAAATTTAGAATCTAAATGGAGCACCATATAATTATGACTATTACATGAGGAAACTTTTGCTTATCTGTGGAGGTGGATATCATAAAATTATACACGAACTTTTTCTCACCAGCTTTTATTGTTGTTTCTGTGTTTAATATGTGGCCCAAAATAATCCTTTACTCAACATGGCCCATGAGAAGCCAAGAAGTGGAGTACCTCTGCCTGATCTAGATGTCAGTTATGCTGTTTCCTTTGCTGCTATGACTGTGGGCCAAGGTTTCCCATAGGTCACCTACTTAACACCTCTGCTTCAAGGCATCAATGACCACATAAAGGTCAAGAGAAAATAACTATACCCCACTCCACCTTTTCTTCCAGTTTTTACATTTTCCCGCTCTTCTGCAGGGTTTCCTGGACCTTGAGGGTTTGATATGCATGTATGATTATGTTTTTCTCTGACATTGGGATGCTGTGCCAAATCAATAGTGAAGACCACAGTAACAGCCGCTTGCTCCTAGTGCTTTGACCAGGTAGACATCCACTGTAACAAGACCTTCTCAAGGCTGAAAGCAGCCACGGTACATGGGTATGAGCACAAATGTTTAGAGGGCAATCTAATAGGGACCATCGTTTCCATCCACCCGAACAACAGACTCCTCACTGGGGCCCAGGTCTTTCCAAGACACAGGATTTCGCCCTTTTCTACAAGAGGAAGAATGCAATGCATCCTGTGAAGGGGGAGCTGTATCACTACAAGGTCACTGGGCACATCTTACCTGGCATGGTGCTAGCCTAACAGGTAGATTCCATCGCTAAGCTAGACTGTTGGTGACAATTCGGCAGCTTATAGGGCCCCTTCCAGCACTAGGAATTCCAGCCAGTTAGAGCTCAGGACCCCCTTGATTTCTCCACTTCCTGCAACTAAAATATGAGGGTATTCGGTAATATAGGCTTCTTGAGAAAAATTGTTTCTTAGGCAAAGACATAGGGCTGGAGAGATGGCTCAGGGGATAAACTGTTTGCCATATAAGCATTAAGACCCAAACTTAACCCCCAGCACCCATGTCAAAGTCTGTAATCCAGTACTAAGCATCAGAGACAGGGGCACCCCAGGGGCTTGCTGGCTAGCTGTTCTAGCCAAAGTAGGGAGCATAGAACAATTGAGGAAGACACTCAACACTGACCTCTGGCCCCATGGGAACATGCACACATGTGTGAATACACACTGACACACACAAAGTATTAGAGATATTACACATAAATAAGAAACAAGGAAATTAGAATGATTTAGTTTTAAATCACTTCACAAGTTGGCAAAATATTCAAGTGCACATGAGAAGTTGGCAGTGTGATAGTTGCTCACCACATTGAGAACAGTCTTCTCTGTGGACAAAAGGCAGCACATACCACAGTGGCTTCATAGCTTGGCATCTAGAAATATCTATTTAAAGTCGGGTGGCGGCGGCGCACGCCTTTAATCCCAGCACTCGGGAGGCAGAGGCAGGTGGATCTCTGTGAGTTCAAGGCCAGCCTGGGCTACAGAGTGAGTTCCAGGACAGGCTCCAAAGCTACACAGAGAAACTCTATCTCGAAAAACCAAAAAAAATAAAAAATAAAAAAAAAAGAAATATCTATTTAAACTATGCACAGGCTAGAGGAAAGCAATTTCCCTTCATTGCTCTGCGATGGGTCATTTCTGAGTTTCTATCAAAAAGCTAGACATTACAGCTATCTTTTTCTTCCATACAGTGTACACCAGTGTCCAGACTTACGAGACTAGAAATTCATAACCAAGAAAGAAGATGTCAGTGTGGGTAAGAATTAGAAGAGAAGCTGGGGGTGCATATCAAGTTTTAAAAGCACATTCAAAATAATCAGATTTGGTCATGAAGGCTGATAGGCTATAAAATCCCAAATAATACTGAAGAAATGTAGGTTGATGTTGGTTCTTTTTGTTTTCTATTTAACTGGAAGGGCTTTTTGAGACAGTGTCTCAGCATGTAGCTCAGCTGACCTCAAACTTGAAATCCTCCTGCCTCAGACTTTTGAGGTTGAGATTACAGGTGTAGTCACTGTACCTAGCTGATTTTTTTTTCCTTTCCTTTTGTTTTTTTGAGACAAGGTTTCTCTGTGTAGTCCTGGCTGTCCTGGGACTCACTCTGTAGACCAGACTAGCCTTGAACCCAGAGATCCTCCGGCCTCTGCCCCGCCCCGCTCCAAGTGCTGGGATTAAAGGAGTGTACCACCACCACCTGGCCAATGTTGAATCTTAAAAGAGATGTTAAAACATTTGAGGGTTCTTCTCAGATATCCTGAGAGCAGAGTGGAACAGTATGAGATTGTTGGCCTTAAGTCAGTCATAATTCTAGGAATTCTTGACACTGGAGGTCTTTGCATTGGGAGAAACATTGACATGCCTTTCTTTGCAAAAGGATCTACTGGGTTCTTTTTTAAATTATATTGTTTATTCTTTGAACACTGCATACAGTAGTACAATGCATATTGATCATATCCATCTACCTGCCTCTAATTTTCCCTAATGTCCTCCCACCCCATCCCCCCCCCCAGCTTGACGGCCTCTTTTCATTTATTTTTTGCTATTAGTAATATCCCAAGTCTAACTAGTACCGCCCATATGCACATGGGTATGTAGTATCCACTGGGGCATGAACAACTACTACAAAGGCTGAAGGAGAATGATTTTTCCTACCTCATCAGCTACCGATTGCCAAAAGCTCCACCAATAGGGGTGAGCCTCAGGAGTTCCCTTCCATCCATGCTTGAATTTTGACCGACTTGATCTTGTAGCTACAAATGCTGTGAGTTGGATGCCTGCAAAGGTCATGTCATGTCTAGAAAACAGCATTTCATAGCACTCACTCACCCTCCTCTCCAACTCTTAGATTCTTTCTGCCCTCTCTTCTGGGGCTTTCCCTGAGCCTTGGATGGTGGGAGGTAAATAAGATGACTCACCCAGAGCTGAGCCTCCCAGTCACTTATGTCACTTATTTACTCCTCCCCTGACCAGCTCCAAGTCTTTGCACTAATTGCCACCCACTGCAGAAAGGAGCTTCTCTGACCAGTTGCAAGCAGCTCAAATCTACTGATTCCCCTTTTAAAATATATTTTATTAATTCTTTGAGAATTTCATACAATATGTTCTGATCATGTTCATTCCCCGCTCTTGCTCCTAACACTTTCCAGATCCATACTTCCCTCCCTACTGAGTTCTTTAATCATGACAAGTTTAGAATTCTAATTTGACAAAAGCCAAGTAGGACTTCCCTTGCCCATCCTGAGCATGCCTTCCCTTATTACTAAAAGTAAGGGTACTGGGGAGGTAGCAGCTTATCGGATCTGTTGATCTTACAAGGTAGAGAAATGTTCCTAAGGCTTAAAAAAAAAAAAAAAAAAAAAAAAACTTTTCATCCACAAGGAAGGCAGCAGCAATCTTTTTTCCTCCCTTGCTTTCTTCCTTTTCTTTTTCTTTTTTCTTCTTTTCTTTCTCTCTCTTTCTTCCATCATTCTTTGCAAACCAAGAAGAATCAATAATAGCAAAAGACCAGACTACATAAAATCTTGAATAATCTCTTCATATTACCACCTCATGTTGCCTCAAAACTTCCTGGGCCCAGTGGAGCAGCAGAGTTGAAGATTAGGGACACGTTGGAAATTTCCTTAACCTGTTGACTGCAGTCACCACGTGGAAATGTTTCTTGAAGTAAAGGAGGGAAGGGAATAAAAGAAGAAAGGTGTATCTTTAGATAGAGTACTTAAGAGAAAATGATGAAAAAACAGACAAATCTAGACTTGTAGGCATATTCAAAAATGGTACTCTAGTAGTAAGTGGGTCTCTGATTCTTGTGCTGTCTCTTGGGCTCTTTTCCTTCTGTTTGTTTTGTCTTTTATTATATTATATTATTATCCCTTAGAAGCCTGTTTGTTTCTAACGAGAGACAGAAAGGGGGTGGATCCAGAAGGGAGGGGAGGTGGGGAGTGACTGGGAGGAGTAGAGGGAGGGGAAACCATAATCAGAATATATTATGTAAGAGAAAAAAAATCTATTTTCAATAAAAGGAAAAACAAATAAAATTGGTACTCTAAAGGAGGCCAGGTTTTCAGAATAGTCAACAATCACATTCTGGGCCTTGATTGAGAAGAAAATTATTCTGTCCTTTCAAGCAGAAAATAGAGCTCTCTGGAACATGTTTTCAAAATTGTGACTCCTAAATCACCAAGAGGCCATCAAATCCAACATGTACAGCTTTTTTTTTTTTTTAAGCAAATGGTGCAGAACAGAAAATAGGCTGTCCTACACTGTTGGAGTAGTGTAAAACAAACATTTTACACACGGCTGTGTGCATATTTATGCTTAAGGTCTGACTCCAGGGAAAGGGATTCTGCTTCCATTGTCTATTTCTGAGTTGGGGGAGGGGGTTTTGTGGGGGCTTCTTGTTGTTTGTTTGTTTGCTAGATGCTGAAATTTGAACCCAGAGCCTCAGACATGCTGAGCCCAGCACAAAATCCTGTTGTTGTTTTTCCCCATGGGGATCTAAGTCAACAACAACACTTTGGGAAGCTAGTTCCCTGGGAAACAACTGCTGTTAAGATAGGTTCTGTGTCAGTGGTAACAAACAGATCTGTGGTGAATAACACTTAAAATATGGCTTTCCCATCTCACATTTCTGACATGTGATAAGATCAAGCCTCAAGCTACACACAGCTAAGCCAGGATCCTCCCTACAATCACTGCTGAGAATATGCACTTAATTTCATCCTGGTACTTCAAGAATTCAGATGACTAAGGGCTCATATCACTTTTATGCCAGATTTCTAATCTGTAGCATGTTTGTTTGTTTGTTTGTTTGTTTGTTTGTTTGTTTGTTTTGGAATCTGGTCTCACTTGGTAACCCTGGCTGTCCTGGAACTTGATATATAGACTACGCTAGCCTTGAACTCAGTGATCTGCCTCCCTCTTGCTCTGCCTCTCAGACTGTTGAGATTAAAGGTGTGCACCATCATGCCCAGCCCTGTGGCATCTTTTAATCCAGCTAGCATCTATGACATGAGAGAGAAGTTTTCCCTTTAAATAATCCTTATACTTAGAATCCATGTCTTAGTTAAAACTTGGCTGTAATTCTTTCCAAGGACACAAGACAAAATACCTTCCATTTACTCTGGGCCATATATTTCTGCAGCAACAGTTGGGATCTGAGACGAACGTTGGATCCTGAGGCTTTGGTGGGCAGATGGTTTAACCACTCGTGTTTCAGACACTGGGTGGCGCTCATCCTGCAGCTGTGGAGTCAAACACAATTGAAACATTGAGTTGCATTAACCTTTGAGAATTGCCCAAAAGTCTGTTCTGTTGGATAGGAGGGCTGAGTCAATGGAACAGGTTCATCACTCAGGCAGATTCACACCATGCGCCCAACACACCCCTCCTTACAAGAGCCAGGAATCTGTCAGTGAAGTGTCCTGACCTCCTGGTAAGCTTTCATCCAGCTGACTCACACCACCTCCCGTGGAAGGCTGGGAAGCTAAGGCAGAGCAAAGGAAAGCCTGCTTGGATTGCTTTTAGGAGAATGTGATGCTTGAACAAAACCCATTTCTCCTGGCAGAGTCTTTAAAGCATCAGCCAGCTCATCTGCATTACAGGTTTGGGGTTTTCACCTAGAAAGTTTTTACAGCAGTAAACTCTGAAGATCAGAGAGCAGTGAGCTTTCCTAAAGACTGGACTCTTGGACCTTTCTCCTGGGAGTGTACTTTTGTTGCCATTGGTTATTTTCAATTATTTTATGTCTGAGTACCAAAAAACTCAATGGCTCAATCTATGACCTTGGTTGAGCTGCTTGTGCTGTCTAATTTTAAGTCAACTTGACACAAGCAAAGGTCATCTGAGAGGAGGGGGATCCTCAACTGAGAAAATACCTTCATAAGATGGGGCTGTAGAGCATTTTTTTGATTAGTGATTAATGGAGGAGGGCCCAGCCCATTGTGGGTGATGTCATCCCTTGGCTGGTGGTCCTGAGTTCTATAAGAAAACAGACTGAGCAAGCTATGGTGAGCAAGCCAGTAAGTAGCACTCGTCCATGGTCTCGGCATCAGCTCCGGCCTCCAGGTTCCTGCCCTGCTTGAGTGTTCCTGCCCTCACTGCTTTGGATAACAAACTGTTTCATGGAACTGTGAGTGAAATAAACCCTTTCTTACCCAAATTTGTTTTTGGTCATGGTGTTTCATCACAACAGTAGTCACCCTAAGGTGCTGCTGAAGTCTAAAAAGGCCTTTGTGGCCAAGAAATGAAGTACTCAGACTTGTATTCTGAAGGATGACATCTTCATATATTGTTGAGAAATATTAGTTTAACTATGTAAAGATGTGTTGCATTTGTTTATGTTGTGGAATATTAGTTTAATTACATAAATATGTGTTGCATTTGTTTATGTTATAGAATATTAGTTTAATTATGTAATGATGTGTTACATTTGTTTACAGAATATTTGTTTAACTATGTAAAGATGTGTGTATTTGTTTACCTTGCCTGCCTAAGGCACCTGATTGGTCTAATAAAAAGCTAAATGGCCAATAGCTAGGCAGGAGGTAAAAGTGGTACTTCTGGGCAAAGAGAGTAAGTAGGAGGGGGAATCTAGGCCTCAGAGAGACAGAGGGAAACAGAAAGAAAAAAGATATGGGGGAGATGCCAGGGACCAACCAGACAGACACAGAGGAAGCAGGATAGTAGGACATACAGAATGAAAAAAGGGTAAAAAGCCCCAAGGCAAAATATAGATGAATAGAAGCAGGTTAAATTAAGTTAAAAGAGCTAGTGGAACAAGCCTAAGCTAAGGCCGAGCATTTGTAATTAATAGTAAGTCTCAGTGCCATTATTTGGGAGCTGGCTGGTGGGACAGAGAAAGAGCTAGGCTATAATATCTCAACTTTCTTTTCAGCATTAGCTTAATGTAAGTGAAAACTTGGAAATAGGACTCACTTGTAATATATACCTATGTCTAAGACTCTGTCTTGCCTATTGTTTTTAGAGTAATTCCCTTTGTCCTGCTGCTGCCCCTTTTAATGTCCCACTGAGTAGTGGACTAAGAAATCCCCCAAAAAGAAAGAACTTAGCACCCCAGCTCAGCACGCAGATCAGGGTTCATTATAATGGCCACTGAGTGACAAGCAACTAAAAAATACCTCTTCTCTTTGACCAGCAACCGAGAAACAAAGTCCTTGGCTTCCTCTGATAGTCCTTTGAAGGTATCAGCATCGAAATCCCAGCTACAGTTCACAATAAAATTCATGGTCTCTGCATCTGTTTCCCCTAGAAATGGGGACAAACCACTGAGTCTGTGGAGGAGAGAAAGAACCATGAGTGTGTCACAAGCTCACTGTATCACATGCTCTACTTCTATTACATCTTCATTGCATATGGCTCCACATGTTCACGTGAAGGAGGTGGATGGAGAAAGGATGGTCTCAACAATTTATAACATGCAACCCTTCCCTTATCTCTAGAGTAACTGTAAAATGGAGTCTAATACAATGTGTCCACTTATCCAGTATGTAGTTATTTATTTTTGTTGTTGTCTTTGTTTTTTGAGACTGTGTCTCTCTAGTTAGCCTTGGCCATCCTGTAACTCACTATGTAGACCAGGCTATCCTTGAACTCACAGAGATCTGCCTGCCTATGTCTCCTGTGTGTTGGGATTAAAGGTGTGCACCACCATGCCAAGTATGTGTATTTATTTAAAAATAGCTCTGGGACAGCCAGGCTCTAATAGATATTATTGTCCTTCAAGCCAATGAAATATTGGCTTTACTATGCTCAGGCTAACGCAGGGAGACAAGATAATCTAACTGACTGACTTTAAGACTTCAAGCTTCCCTAGCCTGGTACAGTGGACACAAAGTGCAGGAACATATGGTACAGTAAGAATAAGATAAGAAGCCAAGCCGGGCAGTGGTGGTGCACGCCTTTAATCCCAGCACTCAGGAGGCAGAGGCAGGCAGATCTCTGTGAGTTCGAGGCCAGCCTGGGCTACCAAGTGAGTTCCAGGAAAGGCGCAAAGCTACACAGAGAAACCCTGTCTCGAAAAAACAAAAAAAAAAAAAAAAAAAGATAAGAAGCCAAACATGATATTGGCCCCTGTATTAGTTAGCTTTAGCTGTCAGCTTGACACAGCCCAGAGTTACCTGAAAAGGGAATCTCAGTTGAAGGATCCCCCAGATCAGACTGGCCTGTAGGGACTGTCTTGATTGTTAAATTGATGTAGGAGGACCCCGCCCACTATGGACAGTACCATTCCCCAGGCTAGAAAAGAAAGCTAGCTAAGCACAGGTGTATGAATGGGCCACAAGCAGCATTCCTCTACGGTTTCTGCCCTGAGCTCCTGCCCTGACTTCTCTCAGTGTTGGCAGTAATCTGAAACTCTGTCCTCCCCTAAATTGTGTCCATCTGGGTTTTATCACAGCAACAAGAATGAAACCAGAGAAGGCTTAAGGAAAAGCTGAGGAAATCTAGTCAGAGAGAGAAAAGAGGCTACTCTGTGTCAGAAGTGACACAGTTACACCACCCTGTAATGCACACCTTCCCTGGCCGGTACCCAGCGGGCCGGTACCCAGCTGGCCGGTACCCAGCACATGCATTTCTTTGCTTGACATCTTTCCAACTGAAGCTTCTTTTCACTACCCAGAAATATCAGGAAATTAACTCAGGCCCAGCACTTAAGAACAACCCACAAATAAGAACTAGTAAGAGCAGAGACAGGCAGATCTCCGTGAGTTCGAGGCCAGCCTGGGCTACTGAGTGAGATCCAGGAAAGGCTCCAAAGCTACACAGAGAAACCCTGTCTCAAAAAGCCAATAAATAAATAAATAAATAAATAAATAAATAAATAAATAAATAAATAAATAAATAAATAAATAAATAAATAAAATACAAACTAGTAAGAGCTGTGGTTGTAAACATTCAACCCTTTTACCCCTCTGATAGAATAACCCTGAGGGGTGTCCCACAATGGATTCAAGAGTTTCCCAACCTTGCACAGGTGTACTTGACTTCTGTGCTATTGATACATTGAGTCACTTTAGTTGTTAATGTTAGATCTCAAAGAAGCCCAGGAGAAGTCTCCCTCTACCTGTGGCTCCTCCAGCACTTCTCATCCCACCCCCTTACCCTAAACCTCTCCCTCCTAGGGGCTGCTGGGCTTTGCTTCTCCCAGCTTCCCTTCCTTATAGAACTCAGCCATTTTGGCCGAAGCTCTCTTGGCTCTTGGCTCTGTTCCTTGCTCCTGGTTCTCCTCTTGGCTCTCTTGGCTTGCTCTTGTCATCTTGGTGCACAGCTCCTCTCTTGATCCACTTCCTCCCCCGCCCCCCTCCCCGCCCCCTCCCCCCATGCATGCGCACCACAGTCCAGTTCAGTCTGGACCCTTCCAGGTGCCTCTGGCTGTCCTCTTCCTCATATCTACATTAAACCCTTTTCCACAACCATTCCTAGCAGTGGTCAAGCCTCATTTTCATTCTTCTAGTGCCTAAACCACAGGATTGGCAGTTGAGATCCCTTCCACGGGACTCGGCCTCTCCAAACCAAGCTGCTGACCTGACTATCCTGAGGGATGTGGGATCATTTGTTTCTGCCAGCTTCTGCCATCCACCAGATTTGACTCCAAATTCTAGAGTCCTCCTCTTCATAGCTTCTTCCTTCTACCTGCTCTAACCACCCGCCTTTCCTCACCTACTTGGTAAGTGTCCTCTCTCTGGCTCTTGGGGCCTCCCAAATCCTCATCTCTCTACTAAGAAGCTGCTACGCCCTCTGGGGCCCCACCATGTAAGCAACCCTTACACAACAACCCTTACACATCATCTCCCTCCATCGGAACCCTCCCTTTTCCCAGAGGCCTCTCCCAGTGCACCTCCCCAGCTGTGTATCCTCTACCTGCTCTAACCACTCATCTCTCCTCCTCTACTGGGTGTCACCCAGGAGCCGCCTGCTTTGTCTACTATTGCTACAAAAAGCCCCACCAGTGTGCCAGGAAGCTCCTCTCGCCCTGCCCGGCCCCTCTCGCCCTACCCGGCCCCTCTCACGTGGAAGGGGACACCTCTGCTCTGTGTTGGGACATTTCTCTCTGACAAGCCTCTCAGTTTGCATGGGGACCCCCTGGATTGAAATTCTTGTCACCACAACACTTACCTCCTCTGCTCCCTTTGTGGTCAGCTCTTTCCTGGGAGCATCCTTGCCTCCCCTGAGGAGCCGCAGTCCCTCAGCCTCTCTATACCCTTGTGGCCTTTATGAGTCTTCCCTCAGGCAAAGTTCCTATTGTGAGCCCTGTTCCTCATGGCTACACTGTTCTCATCTCTCAGCTCCCTCTTGGAGCTTAGAGGAACCCTCTCTTTGGTGGAGTTCATTTTTCAACTCTTTCTCCTTTCGTTCTTGGACTCAGAGATTTTATTAAAACCTCATTGTCTTGCTGCAAATGGTGTGGCCTCAGTGATAGGAATTACAGCCATGCCCCCATGATTAAGCATGCCACTTAGTCATTTCCACGTATCCATTTCCAGGTCATACATGCTATGTGACCCATACTCTGCTTGCTCACGTAAATCATGCACGACTTGACCACATGATCTATGGAGTAGCCACGTGGGTCTTTGTGTGTAGGCTCAAGGAGATCCTTAAAAGGCAGGCCCTGGGTGGTGGTGGCACATGCTTTCAAACCCAGCTCTCTGGAGGCAGAGGCAGGCGGATCTCCGTGAGTTCGAGGCCTGCCTGGGCTACAGAGTGAGTTCCAAGACAGGCTCCAAAGCTACACATAGAGACCCTGTCTCGAAAAACCAAAAAAAAAAAAAAAAAAAAAAAGGGGGGGGGGTGCAGGCCCCATGTCCCCCTTCCCCCTCCCCCCTTCCCTGAACACCGCTATCCCTTCTCCCTTCCTCAATAAAACTCTTGCTAGTGGGTTCTGTCCTGTTTCGTGACTTTTCCTTGCAGGGTGAGAGCACCACTAAAAACTATCACTTAGTGTAGTTCAAAGGCCAAAAACTGGTACACTCAGTTTTCAAATTCTTCCAAAACATAACAGCTCCTGCCACCATACAAACAAATGATCCCCAAATCTCTATATCTAAGTTTTCTCTGCTCTATACTCCCCAAAGTCTCTACTTTTCACTCTTCAAAATCCTTTATTTCTAGAATTCCTCTGCATTCTGCTCTCAAGAAATCTTCTAAGACTATTGTATAAACACTCTTTATCTCAGGATTTGTAAATTCATTGGGTGTGGTTAAAGAATCTGTAAAATCTGCAACAAAAAAATAAGCTTAAAACTTGTAACAAAAGGTTTAATATTAATTTGCTATAAGTGATTCAACGTTTTTTTAGAAAAATAGATCTACTTACTGTATATGTAACTTGAATTCAACTCATGTTTAGGAAAATGGATGTTTTAAACAGCAACATGAGGCTTGCCTCCATCTTGACTGATGATCTCATTAGGACAGAAGCAACCACATGGCTGGCAGCCATCTTTACTAAGGTTACAGGATACATACATGTAACTTCACCACCATCTTGAGTAAGATGACCACGTGGTATAAAATAACTAAAGCAACAATCATAAAACTTCTTAGTCCTACCAGGCCCTCTCGTTATCATTGTATCTCCTTTTAGACTAAGGAGGCAACAACAGGTCTCCAAACATCTCAGTTTAGGAGAGATGATAAATTCCTGAGGCTATAAAGGTCTACTCAGGTTAACAGAAACTTATTTAGAGATGTATGTGTAACTATGTATGTCTTTGCTGAGTGTGTTCAACACCAGGCTTCTAGAAAATTTAAATTAGGAATAGCATGTTTGATAAATAAGATTTATAAATTCCCATGGTCTACTTGGGTTGATAGTAACTGACTATACGTTATGTCTAGGCTCTTTGTCTTTGTTAACTTTGTTAAGCTTTAGCTATTTGGATAAATTGAGCCATACAAGAAACTGTGATATTCTGTAATCATGCACTATAAAAGGATCAAGAAAAGATGGTCTCCAATCCCTTTGTGGATTTCATTTAAAGTTTCCAGTCTCTCTATGAACTGTATTTATGGTCTAAAGTTTTATTTTGATGGTAAAGAATCTTCAACTCAAATTTTTAAGGCTCAAACTTAACAGGAATAAAACTAAAATCCTAATCTTATGAGAGCTACTGACTTGTAAACTGTTAAAAATAATTAAGACATGCAAGTTAGGTCAGTCACCTTATAAAAATGACCAAATTCTTTAATGTGCTCAGAACTAGGCTCATAGTCATGCTAAGTGCAAATGTAATTCATTTAGTAACAAGCTTTATTTAGCCTCTTGTGTATGTTTTCAAGGTCAAGCCTAAAGCAAGTAACTAAAAACAAGTAAGGTTTGTTTAGATCAGGTATACAAATAGATAATGGTCCTCAAATTCTTCAGAAATCTACTGAATGTGGCATTTAAAGTGTTTAATGAAGAAAGCTTCCCATGATAGAAATGCCAGCTCCTAGCAACAACCAAAGAAGACAATGGGACATAGACAACTCTACATGGATTGTGGTCACTGTGATAAAAGAACTGCCCCATGCCTCACCTGCTGCCAAGACCTTGCCCAAACTGTGGACCCTGTTGGGTTGGTTACCCTACTCTGCCTTGACAGGGTATATCAGTTTTCTCAGGCTCCTCTGTGAAACAGTAAAAGTCCCCCACTCTATCCCCTACAGACAAAGAGAAGCTTAAACCAGGATTCCTAAGTGTAAATAAGAACTTAGAACCCTTTTTCCCAGGTGGCAGTATCAACTACAGGGACTTTAAAAAACACAGAGTCAGGATATTTGACCAAAAGACTAAAAAAGGGAGGTGGGTTGTGGAAAATGAATTATATGGTCTGTGCCTTTAATAATTAGCCTCACGTAAAATAAAAAAAGAAAAAGAAAAAAGAAAAAAGAATTAGCCTCACAAAGAAAGGGGAGCGCTCCTTCCAACCTCCCTGCCAAGGCTTGTAAACTTAGAATACACCTTGCTTTTGCATTCTGTACCTAAAGTCTCCGTTGGCTTCTTTGGGAACTTGATCTGGGCATAACACAGGCCAGTTTGGGCTATAGAGATCCTGTCTCAAAACTAAATGGGATGGGAATATGGTGGCACATGCCTTTAATCTCAACACTGGAGATAAAAGACCCAGACACAATTTCTCCAGAAGCCCAAAAGAGCTGAGAAAAGAGATATCTTAAAAATAAACAAAACTGAGTCAGTTCTCCCTTCCTGCAGAGGGTAAAGACAGGTGTTTTCAAAAGAACAAAGTCACAATGTCTGGTGGTAATCAATTAACCACGAGATGCCCCTCTTCAGAGATAACAT